TCCATTTGTTTTCCATCAATTCAGCTACAGTATTGCTACACCTATGAACCACACTTCTTTTCAGTGACAATAATGTAGTTGTGTTGTGTTTCAGGTATCTATTGATTGTAGTTGATGATCCCACAAAGTCTTTACCTCCTCATATTCTTTTTGTTGGATGTGTAGTCCCAGTAGTTTCTCTGAACAATAAAACCAAACTTTCTACATAAATTCACAATTTTTGCAATTCTATCATGGCACTACTTACACCATTCATGGAGATGATGATGAGTTGATGATCTCAATTTTTTAAGGCTGCCCACTTACCATCCTAAAAACATCAACATAATAAATAATGTATCAACAAATATAACAAACAAATATTCTCTCAACTCATACAGATTCATACAGCATTTTGTTTTCAAAGAATCAGATTCTCAGAATGCATTGAAGAGAATTCTGAACGAGTTAAGGTCCTGGCTCCCTACAGTGTCAAACTCGTGACATCACGTTGCCTTCACGTGATGCTTCATGGCATTTTCTCCCTTCACAGAGCTGGGATGGGCGTGGCCTGCATGTGACACATCTAGCCTGCAGGCTGACACCCACGCCCTACAGGGACAAGTGCCCAGTCAGGCAATCTTGAATGACAAAGTCATGGAGGAAAAAAGTTGAGTTTTACATATTTTATTTGGAACCAATTTTGTTTATCTTTCTAAATCTCCTGGAAATTTTTTATCCAAGAGGTTTATGAATATGATAAAAATGTAATATTTTTATCTCTAATATTACTAATCTCCATGGGATGGAAGGAGACTACACAGAGCAATTATCTAATATCTCTATGCCTAATATCATGCCTAATAATTTCCTATTAGGAAATAGAAATCTTTTAAACATACAGTATTTAATTTTAGGTACAATAAAGTACAATCCTATTGACATATGCTTTGGATTAAGTCCTATTAAATGTTTGCACTGTAAAAATAGTATTCTCCAAATCGCAGTATCATCAAATTTTTTTAGGGCTGCAATCCTGCATATCCAGGCCATATACATCTGATTTAATTAATGGAACTTAAATAACTAATTGTGTGCAGCTTAACAGCCAAGATGTTTCAAAAATAGATCAACCAACATTCAGCAATTGCAAAGATCTCTGTCTCCAGTGAAATAGTTAATTCCCCAATAGTGTGTTTCTTGTAAAAATGAATAATAAATCAACTTATTTAGGAAGATAGCTCATCTGAAATGCCAAAAAGGATCTGAGTCATTATTGAAGACATGCTATGTTTACAAACTGAAATGTGCCTCTAATAATCATGTGTGTATATGTGGGTGGGTTTATGTGTTTTGAAACAAAGTTAAAATCTCATTAAAACAAAAGCAAAAACTTACTTGGGAATCAGTTTTAACAATAGATATAGCAGCTTAAGACTTCACGCTGTTTTTGTTCTCATTAGAATACACACCTAAAAATTTGATAATGTTTTCCAGGTGCCTTAAAATAAAATCCGTTCTACATTTGTAGCTAGTTTCAAATTTTAAAGTAAACAAGGTACTTGAATAGAAGGACATGATTTGTCCATGATATATCCCATCTGGGAATGTTTATTTTAAACACATCATTAAAAAGAAGCCAGCTGAAGGTTTTTAAAGAAATTTCTTTCCATGCTAAAACATTTGAAGGAAATTTTCTTTTAGTTAGAAGCACTAGAGATTCCCCCCCACCCCCCAACTATCTAGTTCAGTGATAGGCACAGTGGGATGAAAACACAGATGTGGTGAATTATCTTTCACGAAGGGAAAAGAAGAAAAAAAATGTCATTTTAGGTTTAAAAAAAAAGCAGACTGTTGTGCTGAATATCAGGTTGGTGGATGGTATCAACCACAACTTAGAATGAACTTGATTCATGGAACATGTGACTGATTTGCCTGAGGCAGGAAAGCTCCTACACAATTTTTCTCACTTGGATGAAGTAGAAACTCTAGAGGAGGAATGAGCAACATTTGATGAGTGACAGGCTATAGCTGAACCTCATAATCTAAATGGTCAAAGAAGGTCATCGTTTGGTAAGGTCATTTGACAGGATCAACATATTTTGTCCTATGATAGTTAAATATGAGAACGGGAGGATGAGGTCTCCTACAGGCAAGTAACTCCCAGTTCCAGTCTTAAAACCATATCAAAACCTAAAAACCAACCTTCCAAAATCCAGTCATTTTTGCCTCACAATTTTAACAAGGTTTGTTGCATAGCTAGCCAGATGTTTAGACTAGATTTGACATTTTTATCCACCTATTCTCAAGGACCTGTGATACTCAAATGTTGTTTGATGGTATTAAAGGTCTTACCACAAGATGTAAGCTGTTCTAAGTAGAGCTGTCTTTTGCAATTGACAGATGGTGATTTTGTTAGTGCTGATGGTTTCCAAGTGATGTTCCAGATGTTTTGGGATTGTCCCCACATCACCTATCACTCTTGGTACTACCTTTGCTTTCTTTTGCCATAGTTGTACTTATTATTAATTTACAAGTAGATTCACAGTCTTAGACTGGTGGAAACTTAATAACTCAAGTCCTAACCAAGGATATATTTGATTAATTAGACTCAGACTTAGAATAACTTTGTCACTTTGAATGTACACTGATCGGCATATATTAAAATGAAATTTTGTTGCATGTAGCTCTCAAAAGGTCTCCACCTCTAATATACACTACATAAACATGACAAAATAAATAAACAATTATCAGACTAGACAGTAAAATTGCAGCACCAGAGGAACTAAGTGGACTATATGAATAGCCGTTCAGAAAAGAGGCAAAATTACCTCTTTGGCAGCTGAAATGGTTCTTTTGAAATGTGATAAAAGTAGAGACTCATGCTAAGGTGTGTATCTATACAGCAAGAAGACAAAGAGACTGACATCCACACATATGTAAACCATGTGTTTTTAACAGGCAATGTAGTTCGTCTTGAAACTAGCTTCCTCATATTTCTCATGCAAAAAAAGTAATTCATGAACTGTGTAGTTTGCACAGATGACGTCAAAAGTATGCCAAAGTTAATAAAGGCTGCTATCTCAATCTAACCTAGGAACTCCACTAAAATCGATACATAAATGTATTTCTTAATAAACATTTTCAGCTTTGTGTTACTAAATGAACAAATTGGTCACAGCTGAAGAAGCCTGAGTGAAAATATACATCAACAGGAAAACAAAAACAGTTACATACACTGAAATCTCCATTTTATACAACTTTGTAGCTAACTCATTAATTGCCTTTCATGTAAATTGCTATCCAACTTTTGCTGTGAAAATAAAAACATTGCCCTTTTATTGCTACAAACACACACACACACACACACACACACACACACACACACACACACACAAAACCAAAGTTTAAGCAGAATGCATTCATCCTGCAAAGGGGTCAGAATTTTCCATTTGTGTAACTGGAAAGCAGATAATTAAGTTGAGATGTAACAAAATTCCTTACGGTCAACTTTTTGTATCTGCACAACTAAGAGAGCATAAAAAATGCAATGACATCCATTGTGATGCCACCCAGAAAGACTGCTCAGTAGTATTTTCACAATCTGTCAATCTGGGCCAGATTCCGCTGCTTTTTCCACTCTCCTCTTGGATCACATGTAGTGGTGCTGATGGTGTGCTCTCTCTCTCTCTCTCTCTCTCTCTCTCTCTCTCTCTCTCTCTCTCTCTCTCTCTCTCTCTCTCCTCCTCCCTCCCTATCTCCCTCACCCACCCTATCTCTATCTATCTCTCTCCCCCCTATCTATCTATCTATCTATCTATCTATCTATCTATCTATCTATCTATCTATCTATCTATCTTATGATACACTAAAACTATATTCTAAAATATATATACTGGTCAGATCTGATGTGGAACTAGTTCATCCCCTGTGGTGCACCGTGAATAGCGCTTGAGTGTGGACTGAACAGGCTAGCAATCTTAGGCAGCAAAATAACTATTCCGTATTAGCATTGTATTCTCCTGCCTAATGTAACATCACCATATGCTAAATGAATAAATACTGTACAAAAATAGAAACTTAGGTACAATATGTAACTCTGCACTCAGAAATTAATGTCTCTTCTATCCCTTCATTGATGTCTGCATGTCCACTACAAAGACCTCACAGACAAAAAATGCAAAGTAAGAAAATAGATTTCACAAATAAAAAGGAGTATATTCTGAGATCTTGTATAATTAGGGCTCTACCTTATTCTTAACTACTTTGTTCTATTTCTTGTATGTTTGAATCTTAATATCTCCTTGTTCCTCCATTTCCCATGCTTTTTAAAGTATTCCGTAGTCTTAAGTTGTTTCTAAAGGACTCCTAAATTGGTTCTCTTTGAAGCCATGGTTGGTTGGTTTCTGATTTGGAGAGTCTATCCGTAGACTGTAAAATGAGACCTTCAGGAGACAGTTCACCTATTTCAATCTTCATCACCATTTCACACAAGGTGGATGTCAAGGCAATGAAAAAGCTATCCAGTGTCAAATGCCTTCTCAATTATTCAGAGGCTATTTAGAAGCTAAACAAAATTTCCTTGACTGTTAAATTATTAACTAAAGTGTATTTTTATGTCAAAATGACCACTTTTATTGGAACAACTCTCGCAACAGAAGCTTGCAAGTCTGAATGTGCTTCCCCTGCCTCATTTTTATATTGATATGAATTAGAGAGAGAGACCTGTCTGAAACATGGGCTCAGGTTGTGCTTCTCTGGTCATTGCTTTGGTAGCAGCTCTTCCTCCTGCCCTTCTGTCCTTCAAGACCGTTCCCTACACCCTCTCTACTTTTAGTTCTCTCCAGATGGTTTATCTCTCCTCAGTGTAACACTACAGAGCAGCTTTGGGCTCACAGGCTCTCTTTGGTGGAACAAAGAGGTTGACAATTCAAATATTTACTTGTTTATTTCATAATATATCTGACAGAGAGGCTGCTCTTTTTCCAGATATGACATTGTTAAGGAAACACGCTCTGAAGTACAGTATTTATATTTATTTATTTTTATTCAATAAAATTGCTCAGTGACAACAACATCCACAGACCTTTACTCAAAGCGATATATTCTTTGATCCCATTAAAGATTAGCATTTATTCATTTTAAATGCTATTGTAAATAAACGTACACTTTTATCTATAATTTTTGTTTGCCAGGACAAATGAGCTTCCTTTGGATTTTGAAAGAAAAAACAAATCTCTTGGGTGTTCTCAATAGAAACCTCTTCAGTGACCAGAACAAATTGTCAGTAAGATCTGTCTTAACGTGGGTACTTATTACCTACAAAATGAGTTTGCCTGAATTCTTCATTCTCTAACTGGAGAGAATGCATAGGATTATGGAGCATTCCTGCACTGCAGAGTTTCTAAGTCACTCATTTCAAGCTTCTCTCCTCCTTCCCTCAGTGACATAAGAAACCGATTCCCCTAGTGTCAGCTGTACAACTAACTTCAGATAAGGTACAAGAGTCCACGAGGTCGCACAGGAGGAGCTGAAACTCCAGCAGCCTCATTGAGAAGGTGCTTGCGTATTTCTAAGATCCTTGAGAAATCTGCAGGAATCCTTTCTACACCTCTAGGGGCAGATGCTATTATTAATTCTGTTCAACGATGTGGATTTGAGGTTAAACGATCTTGACAATATGGATTCCTGATTAATAGTTGTACTCTATAACTTTTGCATGACACCTGACTTTAATTATAACTTACATCAAACCCATATTAAACTATACTAATCTTTAATTATGTATTAAACTTGATTGAAGAGACTTTGATGGTAACAAATTCCTTTTAAATGTAATTCACTGGGCGGTGTTAACTGTGAATTCTACCAAGGGGTCTCTTGGTTCAATGCTGGAAGCCTTATTGATATGTGGAGATTCTTATGTATAGATTCTATGTGGCATGAAAACCTGTCACATACTCAAGTTTACAATGTGTTGGCCAATATTTAGCCAATATTCAGCCTTTAGAATACACTATATCATTATGAATATAAATTCTTATAGCAGTAAATTTCATAAATCAATTGCATTTAAGTACAATTGTAGAACACTTTTAAAAAATAAAAATAATCAGTTATTTGGCACATTCTGTGTGCGAATAAAAGGACAGAAACAGAAACTACCAGACTAAATATATTATTCTTTTTTACCATTGACCTTCTTCAAAGGATGAATTTCTTGTTTCTTTTTTTTTCTTTGTCATAAAGTGCAAAGCTTTTTATTCATTACCTGAGATGCATCTATTGTACAATCAATGAATTAATTATTTCCCATTTCCCTTTTTCCAATCAACAAGTTCTCGGTTTCTTTAGTGAACTTGTACATTGTTTTCCAATCAGTGTGCTTTTTTTTTTTTTGATAATCATTTTGTTTATGCAAAATTTAGCCTTAAAATCTCAGACCTTTTCCCTGATGTTTGACATGGTGGAGTTAATATGGGAAGATTTAAGTCTGCATCCTTAATTGTATATTTGAATTGAACATTTCTTTTTATTTTATCATTTTTTAAAAAGTCATTGGACTTTTCTTTAGATTGCCTCAAACTTTTTACCATGAAAGCATTTTCGTGTGTTACTGGGAAAACTGGTGGTCTTGAAACACTAACAAAAAAAGGTGAGCCAATGGACTCCTGCTGTGATGATCCCAACCATGAGATCTTTTTTATAATGTGATCCTTTGTAGCACCTGGTTTCAATCTTGGTAAAGGTGAGAGTTGAGGTGTTTCCATAACCAGAAAAGCAGAACTCTTTCTTTCTTGATGTTGCCACTTTGGAGTTAGAAGGTTCTCATTCATTGCTTTCAAGAGATCTTTGACTTTTGTGTTAGGAAAAAACATAGGATCTTGATCTACAATTCTGTTTTCATTTGTTAATCTTGGTGTTAGTCTACATATATACGACACGGAAGACTTCTCAGTCTCGTGATTCATAGCATATCTTGGGTTATTTCTTAGAGGAGAAGATGGCTTTTCCAATAAATACAATTTTCTTACTTCTGGCCAATCTTTAACATCTTCTTCATTTTCCTGTGGTTCAAGTTGTGTCTCATTGAATGGCCCACATGAATTACGTGGAGATTTAGGGAGATCAAAATAAATCAATTCTCTGCCTGAGAACTTGGAAGCTAAAAAAAACACAGAACAAGCGAAATCAGGTAATGAAAATGTAAAGTCTATAAACATCAAAATAAGAACATCTGCTTTACCTCTGTTGATCATAGCCATGGTGGTGCAGTGGTTAGAATGTAGCATTGCAGGCTAACTCTGCTCACAGCTAGGAGTTCGATCCTGACCAGCTCAAGGTTGACTCAGCCTTCCATCCTTCCGAGGGCAGTAAAATGAGGAGCCAGATTGTTGGGAGGTAATATGCTGATTCTGTAAACTGCTCAGAGAGTGCTGTAAAGTACTATGGGGTGGTATATAAATCTATGTACTACTACAGCATTTTGCAAGTTCTTTTAAAATTTTAACAAGCAAGAACTCATACACTGTTTAACAAAGCATTGAGGATTATTATTTAGCCCCATGTCAGGATTTTTTTTCTCATTCTCTGTTCTATTAAACAATACATCAAACTTCAGGAGAGGTTACTTTGAGGAATAGGATTAGAGTGATTGCAAATAAATTCTGAAGATATCTGTTGATTAATCAGTTGTGTGGAGACATATCCTGTCATCTCCTCAGCATAGCTGTGGCATAAAAAAAAGGTATTTAATTCTATTTCTCATGCCACACTGAAAGGATGCTGTAAGAGCATGAGAGAAACTGTTTCTATTACCTCAGAGGGATAACAAAGTCACCCCTGCACCAGATTTTGGGGAAACCTCCCTTCTAACTGGGAAAGCGGTGAGATAATTTAGCAGGTTAGAACAAAAATTCTCCTGTATGGATATTTGCTAATTTGCTACATTGTGCTGAGTAACTAATTTTTTTTGCAATTGTCACATCAGGCAGATATTTTACGCTCTAAGAAGCTTGTTTGTCCTTTTAAATTAATTTGTCATTTTATCTATTATCTTCTGGCTGTTTTAATCCTAGGTAAGAAAAACATTAATTAATTCCCTCTAATCAATGATGGAATCTGTGTGTAGAATCAATTTTGGACAGAACTGCACTTCCTTAAAGAAGAACAAATTTACAGAATGGAAGTATTTCTGAACCTACAACTACAATTCTGACCAAAAACGTTGGCCTTTTGCTCAGTATAATTTACTGTGACAATTACACCTTTATTGGCTTTTATCCATTTTAAGAGGTATTTTTTCTTTATCCCATACTGCCTTTGAACATTATTCAGAAATGTCAACTGACAGAATATGTGGCAAGGAGGGTTTTAATAAGACTATAAAATCCTGGATTGATTGGTAGATATGCCAGGTACAGCTTTTTCTATTGCTATACTCAACATGATGCTGTGATGAGTAATAATAATAATGAGTTTAATATTGTTTCAGTTTTATGGTCCTGCCTTAGGAAATTTCGACAGTTTTGGTTAAAAAAAACCCCAATAACTGAACTGTGTATTAGTTTACACTGTTCATAAAACCTTCTAGGCTCTTTGGAGTGGAAAGTGAAGAAATAATTTTTGTTTCTATTTCTGTGTGGAGGATTATAATTCTAAATAAATTATCTATCCTCAGAGTACACTGTGTTTCCCATAAATAATAGATTGGATCCAACGAAGTATTCCCAGGAATAAAAATCCTCCTTCCCGTAGTTTAAAGCATTTGATCTACTGGAAAAAAAATGTTTTTCACTGTCTAAATAAAGAATAATGTAATCCATTGCTGAAATTGCATGTCACTTCAAACACTGAATTGATTTCATAAATGAAAAGAAAACAATGTAGATTGCTGAAGAAATTTAACTGTTCCAGAAGTTCCCATCAGTGGAATAAACATCTGGATCCAACCCAATGTTTCTAATGACCTTTTGATTTTACAAAGCTGGCAAGATTCAGAGAATCATGGAGGCTTACCAAACAATTCAAGACTGCAAAAACAATAGCAACAACAACAGATTTCAGAATAATGCTACTGTATCCCAATAACATTTTTTTCCATTATTTTTATGAGTTTTTGTCTCTTATGAAAATCTTTAGCTTAACCTTTAGACAAACAAACAACTGCCCTTCATTGTTATCAGTACAAGGTAGTAATGAATGAAATAGAGCCACATATTCAACTGAGGTCAGGATCCTTGTCATTAACTTCTATATGCAAGTCCTTTTCAGGCTTTATCAGGGTCTCATACATTAAAAACCTGGTTAGGCATACTCAAGATATGACTTTCAGGCATTAAAACGTTTATCATGTTTTAATTTTTCCTCACCCTTAATCAAAAAATATTTCGACAAGTATAAAATGTTAATTTTCTGCCTTTTGTTAGAAGTCTTATTCCCTGCCATTGTTATACGTTTCTAATATCCCCAGGCTATCAAAAAGAGCAGTACACATTACCTTTTGGTAAGATTTCTTGGTTTTCAAGAATAACTGCAATGTCATCTTCCTTGGTAGCATATGGCATTTTTGAGCCGAGCGTGGAATGGAACGCTTTATTGTTGCCACTTTTCCATTTTTCTGCTATAGCCATTTTTGTCTTCTGTGAAACTGGAACATCTGCATCTTGACTTACGCTTCCAGGATGTTCACCGTGAAGCTTTTCTGGTTCGTGTTCTTTCTGCAGACACATCAGACACAGTAATATTGTTTTTGTTTTCATTCATTCAATCAGGTCTGATTTTTCAAGACTTCCCGGACAGGTTCTTGCAACTTTTTTGGCAAGACTTTTTCAGAAGTGATTTGCCATTGCCTCTTTCCGAGAGCTGAGAAAAAGGGACTAGTCCAAGGCCATCCATCTTGGGTGACCTTGGGCTAAAGCAGGTCTAGAACTCACAGTCTCCTAGTTTCTAAACCTGATGCTTTAACCAGTGGTGGGTTGCCCCCGGTTCAGACCGGTTCGCAAGAACTGATAGTAAAATCGGTAGGAGGCTCCGCCCACCAACCAGACGTCAACAGGAAGCTTCTGTGCACGCGCAGAAGAGTGCGCATGCGCACGAGCAAAGAGAGAGAGTGTGTGTGGCCCAGCTGCAAACCGGTAGTAAAGGTAAGTAGAATCCACCCCTGGCTTTAACCATTATACCAAATTGGTTCTCAGTATAAAGGGAAGTAAAAAAAAAAAGGAGATGAAAAGTGATAAATTAATTCAGGCATCCATTTTTAATTCTATGAAAACTAGTATTGGAAGTAATAGATGATTGTTATTTCTAATTGAATAGGCTACCTTTCTGTTTCCTCACAAAACAGATTATAGCTTACATTGATGCACAAAAAATTACAAAGTTAAATAGATCACGGTGGCTAAAATAATCTCAATACCCTTTCTCAGTTAGCCCTCCCTACCCAATGGATTTAGATTATATTCTCCAGGCACTTCTCAATCTCTTTTCCCAGAATTGGAAAACTTGGGACTGGCTTATACTACAGACCAGTGTTTCTCAACTTAGCAACAGTAAGATATGGGGACTTCAACTCCCAGCATGCTGGGAAATTCTGGAAGTTGATGTCCATACATCTTAAACCCCAAAGGTGTTTTTCTAGAGGCAACTGGACTTTCTTTGTTTTTCATTGAAGACATTTCACTTCTCATTCAAGAAGCTTCTTCAGTTCTGACTGAATGGTGGAGAATGGAAGGATTTAAGTGAAGAAGCTTCTTGGATGAGAAGCAAAACATCTTCAAGGAAAAACAAAGAAAGTCCAGTTGCCCCTTGAAAAAAACACCTTTGCAATAACCATGACATGGATGATTGAGAATCTCCATAGACATACATGTTAAGTTTCTAAGGTTGAGAACAGACTCTCTATCCTTTTCAGGCATACTTGATATTTCTACATCCAGAGGCTGAGACTGATGTATAATTTATTATTATTATTGGTTCGATTTAGGCATATTTACATAGTTAATTTGACGTGACAGCTGGCTATTGTAGTACTAAACTTCAATGCCCATTGCACTTCAACAATCTGACTAAAACTAATGAAATATACAGTATATGCACTTGTATGCACTTGCATATATATGTATGCATTATATACAATATGTATAGTATATGCACTTTTGAGTGCATTTTGTGACTTCAGGAAAGAAGAGAGACATAGAATTAGAAACTTTTCTGATTAGTCCATCTGTATCAGATATTGTCAAAATTGGTTTTTTTTAAAAAAAACAATTGGGTTTAGGTTTAGGTTTATTAAATTTGTATACCGCCCTTCTCCCGAAGGACTCAGGGCGGTGAACAGCCAAAATTAAAATACATACAGTATAAAAATTAAAATAAATTAAAACAGAATTAGGCTTCCCCAAATTTTAAAACCCTGTACCCATAAAATAGCCCATTAAAATTTTAAGCCAGCCTGGCTTGCTGAAATAAGAAGGTCTTCAACGCTCAGCGGAAAGTACGGAGGTCTGGGATCAGTCGTATTCCTGGAGGTAGCTCGTTCCAGAGGGTGGGTGCCCCCACAGAGAAGGTTCTCCCCCTGGGGGTCGTCAGTCGACATTGCTTGACTGATGGCACCCTGAGGAGACCCTCTCTGTGGGAGCGGATTGCCCGGTGGGAGGTTATCGGTGGCAGAAGGTGGTCTCATAAATACCCGGGCCCTAAGCCATGGAGCGCTTTGAAGATGAGAACCAATACCTTGAAGCGCACCTGGAAGACCACCAGGAGCCAGTGCAGCTCACGCAGGAGAGGTGTTACATGGGAGCGCCATGTCGCCCCCATAATTACCCACGTGGCTGCATTCTGGACCAGCTGGAGCCTCCGAGTGCTCCTCAAGGGGAGCCCCATGTAGAGAGCATTGCAGTAGTCCAGGCGAGAGGTGATGAGGGCGTGAGTGACCATGCATAAGGAGTCCCGATCCAGAAAGGGACACAACTGGCATATCAGGCGAACCTGATAAAAAGCCCCCCTGGCCACAGCCATCATATGCTCTTCTAAAGACAGCTGTGCATACAGTCATTTTATTTACTGTCCATCAGAAAACTTGCCATGGCCTGGATTCCTAAGAACTAATTGGTTAAGCATCTGGACAGGGAGTTCTTTGGCAAGAACACTATTTCTGCAACGCTGAACTAGATGGTTTTGGATGGCATTAGACTTCCTTTCTACAACAAATGTCATAAAATGCAAGTTGCTTGGAGAAATCACAGTGTGTAACAGAACGGGTCCTTCTTTTATATGTATAATTAATGGTTCAAACATGGTCATGGAAAAAAAAACTTCTGGGTTGCTGATAGTCTTTTCAGAGCCAAATTTCCAGTAGGTTTTTCTCATCAAGCAAAATGACTGTCATGCCTAAAGCAAAATCTTTTGTGAGGAGCCCCAAAGGTGCTTTTTCAACAGGCAACTAGACAGGACTTTCTTTCAGTTCAAGAAAGTCCAGTTGCCTCTTGAAAAAGCACTTTTGGGACAAACATGACCTGGATGACTAAGAATCTCTATAGACACTTTTGTGACCAGCTGTTTGCAGTCAAGATTATAAAGAGTGAGATGTTAAACTTTAGTATATTAAACCTTCAGGGTTTTTCCAGAGGAGAGTTTTATTGGACAAGTAGAACATAGCACAACACTTAGATGATGAAGGAGAATCAGATATCATTTCCTAGATCTAATGTGAGAAATCACATTTCCTCAACACTCATACCACAGTTCTTTGGAACTAAGAAAAAAAAATGATATGCACAATTCATATGCACAGACTCATCTACCACATCTGTTAGAGATGATACTCTTGTGTAAACAGCTGGCCTTACAGAGACAGAGTTCTGATTTTAAACTGTTCTTCCTCCTGAACCCACCTCTATGATAAAAGGTATCATCACATTCTGGAGTGTCACCACATTCTGGAGTGGATTTGAGAGTCAGATAGGGTGACAAAACAAGCCTGTTCCACTGATTGATGTTATATTCCAGTAGACAGAATACATTCACTGAAGTCATTACTCTGCATTGGTCAGAACCTATCTCAAGTACTACAACCAGATTTGAATAAACATGTTTTTAAAAGATTCAGAGAACCTAGAGCAAATTCAAGAAAATGAGGCTGAGGCGGAGTGAGTTGGGGCTGGAGACTAAGACCTAGAAGCAGCTTGGTGCTACTAAATAGGTTATCCTTTAAGAAGGGAGGAATAATGGGGGAGGGGATGATAGCATTCTTCAAGTACATGAAAAAGAAGAGGAAAGCCAGGTCCTATTCTTCGTCAGCAGGAAGATCGATTCATTCTACTCAAAGAGTAAGTTGAGTTAATTGTCCATAGTGATGGTGGAGATGTTAAAGCACAAAGTGGATAGTTGCCTGCCATGAATGTTTACATTTATTTTGTACTGAGCAGAGAGTTGAATTCAATAGCCATTATGACTTTCAATTCTATGCTTCAATGAAAAGTATGTCTGAACATTTGAAACCAAGAGGTTATATCCAGCATTAGTGTATTGAAACATGTTCATATGCTATAGAACTTAAATATTTTAAACTGTCTGAATGAGTGAACTGTCGAAAATTATTCTATCTGTATTGATTCAAAGGGCTAAGAAAGATCAGTCCAGGGTATTATTTTTCAGTGATAACCATTTCATTAATGCAGCTCCTTGAACAATGAAGATGAATGTATAAAGTAATTAACCAATGAAACAGCTTGCCTTAAGACATTGTGGGTGCTTCATTACTGGGGGGGTTTAAGAAGAGACTGGATGGTCACTTGTTTGAAATGGTATAGGATCTCCTGCTTGAGCAGGGGCCTGGACTAGAAGACCTCCAAGGTCTCTTCCAGCTCTGTTCTGATTCTGATTCTATTAATTGATATCTTTGCCATTATTACTAAAGCGATTATCTGTCTCTGGCATCTTCCTATATCAGTGCTACCTGTTCTTGGTGCCTGTTTGCTTCAGATGGGGAGTTGGGATGATCTTTCCTTAGGCCAGTTTAAAAAAAAAATGAACGAATATATGAAAAGACAGTTGAGGCGAAGTATTGGTTAACAATATCCTGAGGAGAGTGACAGATCTCTGCAATGCCGTAATCCTGGGATGTGAAAAGAGCTTTAAACTTGTTGGATTGGAATTATCTATTTTGGAGTTTTCTTTATTGATAAATGTATTACATTTATGTCGAGCTATATGTTGAGCTATATGTCGAGCTATAAGGCAAGAGAATCACGCTGGGGCATGCAGATCTGGTTGTTACCCATTACCACGATGGGAATTAATAATCTTGAATTAATTAATTAATTAATTAATTAATTAGGTATGATATAAATATAATATATTTATATTATATGTAAATATAATAATATAATATATAATAAATATAAATAATATAATATAATATAATATAATATAATATAATATAATATAATATAATATAATATAATATAATATAATATAATATAATATAATAATATAATAGGGGGCCTGGTGGCTCAGCAGACTGATAGCATTGTGATTAACACAAGCTGTCTGCAATTACTGTAAGTTCGAATCTCACCAGGCTCAAGGTTGACTCAGCCTTCCATCCTTTCTAAGGTAGGTAAATTGAGGACCCAGTTTGTGGGGGCAATAAGCTGACTTTGTATAAATATACAAAAGTATGAAGGGTATTGCTTAACGCATTGTAAGCCACCTTGAGTTTCCAGAGAAGGGCGGCATATGAATCAAATTAAATATATATAATATATATTATATATATATATATATATATATATATATATATATATATATATATATATATATAATGTAATATAATAAATATACAATATGTAATATAAATATATTATATAATATAAATTATATTATATAAATAATTAAACAGACTGCAGACAAGATATAAGCAAAATGTGATCCTTAATTAATTTAAAGATGCCATGAAGTCATATCTTACCTTTTCAGTCTTGGATTCTCTCTGATACCTAATTAATTTCTTCAGCAATAAGTAATATGTAGCCATGATGGAAGATGGCTTGTTTTTAATCAAGACAGTCACAACATCTGAAAGGTTGAACTCCATTATTTCTGTCATGTAACTCAAAACAACAGGATTCAATTCATTTGGGCGAAGCCTGAAAAGAAGAGGTTAAGGGATAGGCATCTATTTGGCTGAGGTTGCCGCAATAAACTGAGCTATATTCTTCTATACAAGAAAAAAATTGTAGTATAATTCTGTTCAAAATTTAGTCTGAAAAATCTCCCCTGAGTTCCCCTGGTTTTCCAACGGTTCCCCCCACCCCACAATACACAATTTGTTCTAAATTTATCTGGTGTCCTGTGGCAAATCCTCACAATGGTAACACAAGGATTCACTGAGGACTTCAGGGTAAAATCTGCCTCAGTTTCTAGAATTTAGAACATTTTGACGTGAGCTTGTGAATGCTTACAGTGGATTTTTAGCACAGTGGAAATACATTTCATGACTCATTGTCATAATAGAATCTGCTAAATGAGCTGTTAATGTCAATCCCGCTAGATAGACCAGGCCAGGAAATTAATTCCACATGAAGACTAAAACTACTTTTATTGGGTTTGGTTAGAATAACAGAGACTTGCAAGTTTGATTGTGCTATCCCTTCCCTTCTTTTTATACTTCAGGGAGGCATCTGACTGAGCTGCTTCTGAATGCTCTCTCATTATTCTGGACTTTAAAAATATTTCATCCTATTTCACCTAGGAAACAGTTCTTACATATTTTTTATCAAGGACTTCTTAACTTACTCTCAAGTGACATCCCAAATAGTTTTCTATTTTTCTTTCTAAGAAGGTTCTAAGAAGGCACATGTGACGGGAAGAATTGAGCAGGACAGCAATGGCAATAGCATTTAGGCTTATATATTACCCTATAGCACTTTATATCACTCTCTGAGGAATTTGCAATGTAGAAACATTATTTGCATATTGCTGTCAACAATCTGGGTCCTCATTTTCCCGATCTTGGAAGGATGGAAGGCTGAGTCAACCTTCAGCCCTGTCAGGATTGAACTCCTGGTTATGGGCAGAGTTTGCCTGCAATACTGCCCTTTAACCACTGCACCACCAGGGCTCTGAGATGTGAAAAAGGGGGACCAATCTTCTGATTGTTTCTCAGAGGAAGAGACAGCATGCCAGAAGGAGATGGCTAAAACAGCACCCAGAAGATCATATTGGCCTTCTCAGATAAAGGAAAGTAGAATTCTGGATAATGGGTCCATGTTCTATTTATTCAGGAATGGGGAATCAAAGGTTTCCCAATTGATTTGTTTGGACAATAGAGATGAGAAGGAACTCAAATGGGGACATGTCAGCCCAAGGATGATCCAAGTACATGGTGAAATGCTCCTAAGTCTCTAATAAATAACTGGAAATCTGAAAGAAACAGAGTTTAACTCTTAACAGAATTTAAAATAAGTGTTAAATCACTGATCAGTAAGCTAGATCTCTTCATCAGGATGTTCTACTTTATTTTCTGAGTGCTGAATTTGCTTGAGTCTGGCAATTGTTCCTAGTAATGTTTGTATCTTTGTGCAGAGTTTAAAGTTTTGCATTATCCCAAGTTTTTTTGAGCCTCAGACCGCATCTATCTATAACTGTGCTTGAATCTCCACATAGTTTTGTAGGGGAGAATGGTGTTTGGAGGACTATTTATGATCTTTTGAGAGCCAAATGTCTTATTCCAGCTAGTTATCATTATTCTGCAGAAGTTTTATTCTCTCTTAAATTGTATTTCTGTTTTATCTCCTCAAAAGGAGACATAATTGCTGTTCTTTGGCTGTATCCCCCCTCCCCCAAAGCAACTAGAACTGGAGTAATGGGGTTTTTGGATGCTTATGATTTGCTTCTCTTATTGTTCTGGTTTTTATTAGGTACAGAGCTTGGAGTTATTTGAAATTAGATATTCTTTTCAATCTAAATAAATGAATAAATAAAATTATGCCCGGACTGTAAAAGGCTCATCTCTTTCACAAATTGTTCTTAAAAGGGAGAAATCAGGGCAAGGCATCGCCTTCCTTCAGGAAAGTGGATAATGGCAACAGAAAATACTACACAGCCTATAAACAGAATACTTCAAGCATGGTGGGATGATGGGACCTGAAAGGTATGGTCAGAAAGGTCGAAGCCACTTTCACCACATGGCCAAAGACCCTTTTCGAGCAAATTCATTATTGTTGAAAATGAAGAAATAAAGGTTGACAAACTTGCAATAATTACCTATTTCTATATATGAACGCATTTGGTGGTTTGCTGATATTATTATCATTTAACCATTTGTCTTGCATTGCCTCTTTAACAGTAGGCCGCTTTGTGGGATCAGGTTCAAGCAAAGAGTGCATAAAATGAACAGCTCCTGTGGAGGAATTTTTAAAAACCCAGAGTTGTTATAACAAATTTATTGGGTGGCATTGCTTTTTTGAAACAACCTACAGAGTCCTCAAACAACAATAGGGAGAATTAATGAAGCACTTTTCCTGACAACATCATCATGGAAGAAAAATTACCAAAGTCAAAATTTCTGACATCAGAGAAATCACTGCTTGAATTTAAATTTCTGAGGTAAAGTAACAGCTATTCACTTTCAACAATGATATTCTTTTAATAGATCTATTCTTGTAATTGGCTTTCATACAGATACAAAATGTACTTTCTCATTAATACACTTTTATCTACTCATCTTTCCAGAAATCCCAGAGCCATTCTTCAACATTATCATGGACAAATGATCCAGCTCAAATACTGAGGAGTCATAGCATTTTATTCTTCCCTTAAACCTAGGCAAAAAGCCAACAGTACTTTAAAAAGTTAATATTTTAGAAAAGAAAAGGGAAAAAATGGACTGCATTCAAATCTATTCTATTTTCCTAGACCTTGGGCCACTTCCATTAAATCATTTGATTATTTTGTCATTTATTGATTTGTGATTTATAGGATGAATTTAGGATTATTGTGAATATAAACCAATCCAGAAGAGATTCATCAGCTATTTCAGCTGAAGAAACTGGACTATCAGTGCTTCCTATATTGACAATATAGTGCTTCCTATATTGTCTTTCCACTACAAAGACCAGCAGGAGCCATGTTCAAACCAAGAATTCACGGGTGACTTTGAATTCATCACTCTTTGTCAGCCAGATTGGACTGTTGTTGTGGGGATAAAAAGTCCTCTGTGTAGGTTATTTAGAGCAGTGGTCCCCAACCTTTTTATCGCCGCGGCCCGCTGAGCGCGCGCAGGGGTGGGGGCACGGCCCAGGAGCTTTTGCGCACGGCCCATTGCGCACGGCCCAGGAGCTTTTGCGCACAGCCCAGGAGCCTTTGCACTGCAGCGTTCATGTCCCCCGGCCGCTGCGCGGCCCGGTGCCAGGTACTCCACGGCCCGGCACCGGTCCGCGGACCGGGGGTTGGGGACCACTGATTTAGAGCTCTCAGAGAAAGGACAGGTTAGAAATTCAATCAGTCATTCATTGTCCTGAAGAAGAATTGTGCCTAAATGTCTGTACTTGTTATGTTACACCAAAATTGCAGCAATATACTGTAAATCTGTCTTAACTTGGTGTCTTCCAGATGTGTTTGGATTACAACTTCCAGAATTCGAACCAGCCTAGCCAATAGCCACGTTGGCTATAATCTAAAACAGCAGGTTTTATATTTATTAAAACATAAAATAAACCATCCCTTACCTGAGGAAATGTTGGGAGAGATGGGGTTCATTTCTCCATTAACCATCTTGAGATGAAGTTGCTTGATGTTAAATGGTTCCACAGTGAACGGCAGTGTGCCAGTCAGCATGGCAAATGTGCTGATTCCTCTGTCCAGGGAGAAGACAACACAGAATGGCTATCGAGATGACCCAATTCATTCCCCCCTCCCTTTGTGTATCAAACCTGTTCCTCACTGGGAATTGCTATACCAAACAAAAATGGGTTATTTCCTACAAAAAGCAATGATGTATATTCCTGCTCTTATACACTGTAGCCAGAGGTGGGTTTCAGCAGGTTCTGACCAGTTCTGGAGAACTGGTAGCGGAAATTTTGAGTAGTTCGGAGAACTGGTAAATACCACCTCTAATTGACCCCACCCCCATCTATTCTCTGCCTCCCAAGTCCCAGCTGATCGGGAGGAAATTGGGATTTTGCAGTAACCTTCCCCTGGAGTGGGGAGAGAATGGAGATTTTACAGTATCTTTCCCCTGCCATACCCACCAAGCCACACCCACCAAACCATGCCATGCCACACCCACCAAGCCACATCCCCAGAACCGGTAGTAAAAAAAATTGACACCCACCACTGACTGTAGCCATTTATTACACAAATCAATAGAACAAGAGAAGCCAAACACAAATCGAGAAAAGATGGTTTTTTCTCTTCTCCATTCCTTTATTAAAAAAAAATAAAACCTGGTTTATAGTGTTGGGTATGATGATATTAACCCAGGATATTCCTCTTTTTTGCTACAGTGTCTATAGCATAGCCTTGTAGAAGTTCTGGATATTTTATCAACTTCAGTTTTCATAACATAATTTAGTATTTCTTACAATCTTATTTCTACAGTAGTATTTGAGGTCTCTATACATTTTTTAAAATGAATTCATGATCTCATTGTTGGCAAGGATTATCAAGAGCTCTTTAAATCCCCAAGGGAAAGACACTGACTTCTTACTGATTTGCATTAATCCCTCTCTTTAAATAAAAACAATTGGTAGGAAAGGTGTTTATGATGTCAGAGTTTGACTTATTTTATAACAACATCTTGGAGTAGTCTGCTTATTTTCCTTGTATTTTATTATTCTAACTCATCATCTCACTCCGAGTAAACCAGACTTTTAGGCAATGTAACAGAGAGAAAACAGTTCCCATTATGCATAGTTATCCCACTGACATTATATAGCACTTTGTCTCCCTAAAAGTGCTGAAGGAGAGATAGAAACATTCAAAATCTACTTACATGGACCAGACATCCACTTTTGGCCCATACTGCTTATGAGCTAAGAGTTCTGGGGCTGCATAAGCTGGACTCCCACACTGGGTATTTAACAGTTCTTGGGAAAGGCCCTGAAACTTTATGATATTGCTCAATCCAAAATCTGAAGAAACAAACAGGCAAAAAAAATAATAATTTTAACAGTCTGCATGATAAACTCTAGCAGCTTTAATCATACAGAAAATTGATTTAAACAACCACAACCCTCAATTGGAGGCTGCACAGAATATGCATTCAGAATAACTCACATGATGCGTTATATGGGTATGTGAGCATAGAAGATGTTTTATGGCTGTGTGTTATATTAATTTAGAGAAATGTTTTTGTGGTTACTTAATTTTAGGCTTTCTTATTAGGTACAATTTAAAATAGTGAGGTTAAAAAAAACTACACCAATTTCAGGGAATTCATGATTTTAATTGTAGCTGTTGAAGCTATTACGGCAATATTTTTCCTACATCAATGCCCATCTAAATGTTCAGATGAAGAACAATGGTCCCAAGGCATCACCCATCATCAATGTGAGCTTTCTCAGATGGAATGCGACAACTCACTATAGCCAACTCGCCGCAGCCAACTCACTGCAGGACAACTCACCATGGCCAACATGCCAAGGGACAACTTGCTGCAGGACAATTCAACCATTCAATTTAATTATTTAAAATAGTTAAAATATTATTTTAATTTTTGTAATTCACATTTCATTCTGTCCCTCCTTTGGCATCCTTTCTTTAATGATTCTATTCCACTATTTCTTTGATATTAGTGTAACTCTTGTCCAGCAGTGAGTTGGCCATGATGAATTGGCTGGTGGTAAATTGGCCGTGATGAGTTGTCCTTTGGCACATTGGCCACAGCAAGTTGTTATAGATCGGGGTGTCAAAATCAAGGCCTGGGGGCCGGATTCAGCCCGGGGAGGTGCTTAGATCTGACCCTCAGGGCCACCCTGGAAACAGCAAAGGTGTGGCCCTTCCGAGCTCCGTTTTCGCTGGCAGAACACTCGGGCCAGTACAGGCGCTCCTGACATAAGTGATGTCAAGCTGGCCACGCCCACCCTGGCCACACCCACCTGGCCCCCAAGGTCAAACACAACCCTGATGCGGCCCTCAATGAAATCAAGTTTGACACCTCTGTTATAGACCCTTCTCAGATTGTGCTGGTGATGACACTTTAAAAGGCAACTTATGTCAACATTTCATTCTTCAAAATGCACGCAAAAATGAGGGAAAGTACTGTAATATATAAAGCAATAGACTTTATTTTCTTCCTAACAAATGTGTAGCAGGAAGAAGAGAAAAATGGAAAGAACACGAATAAGCGGTATGGCTTTTATGTACTTCCATCTTTCCAGCACGTCCAACATTTTGAAAATGAAGTTTTAGCACACCATATAGAGAGTTTCTGCAGATGTTGTTCATCATATCTGAGGGAAACATCTTACTTTGAATTGCAGCCCAATCTCCTCAATTAATATGAAAAAGCATCTGTGGCAGATCTTCTCAGCCAGGAGTTGCATGTGTAATAATTAAGAGGTAGGAAGGACTCAAGGAATGGTGGAAAGACCCTGGAGTGATCTTTCAATTGTAACAATGGTGTGAGGCAGTGCATCAACTTGCATCAAGGGTTAGAGTTGTTCAAAACCCACTCAGGAGTCCATAAAACCCTCCAAATTCCTCAATTAACTGAAGACATAAATCTATATGTTACAAATACTTTACAGGACATATCGCTGTGAAATGGTAAACAAGAACTTCATATCTACCTACCAACAATTTTAATGCTATTGTTTTCATCCAGAAGAAAATTTTCTATCTTCAGATCTCTAAACGAAAGAAAAACTTAAACTAAATACACAATCTTGAAACGTAAGATTTGCACTGCAAATATCAATAACTGAGGTTATTCACAATATGCCTGCTCAATGATATTAGTAGGAATATAGTTGATAGGTCTCTAATTTATTGAATCTCACACATACACATACATCTGTTGTGGCTCCGTCCTCCAAGCTTATCTTATCAGAGGAAGAAGGCTCCGAACATGAAGGAGAGGAGACGGCCAGGCCTCCCTCTCCAGGACCCTCCTCTCTGGCAATGCCTCAGGTGTCTCCCGAAGGAGAAGAGATTGGCCAGGAGCCAGGTGTTTCCGAGCCGTTGGATAGTGACGAAGAAACATTGTGGTTGGACCCACGCCAGCGTCGGAGAGACAAGTGTGCGCAGCAGAAAAGGAGGCGTGCCAGAGATTAAGCTGAGTCACTGGACCACACCCCACAGGCTATAAAAGGGAGTGTGGTGGCCATTCGGACTCTGTGACGGACAAAGCTAATCTCTGGCGAATCACTTTGCACCTTTGGACACAACGCCTATTTGCTGTGGATTTAATTACAAACTGGACTATTCAAACTGTGTGTATTTTTGTCTGTGTTATCAGAGTAAAAGTTCTTGACACCATGGAGTTGCTGCCAAGTTCCTTATCACTGACGTTGAGTGTTTGAAGAGTTTATTTAACCCTCGGCTGGCTGGTTGCGTGTGTGCGTGGTACGGGGACAGAACAACATCACACACATGGCCTTTATATCTGCCTGAGTTCTGGAAGCAAATGTCTCTTCTCAAGGATTTCACAACAACGACCAGGAGACACATCAGGCTAAAAAAATAACAATTGGCCCACAATGTCCTGCTGAACTCTTATTGTTAATGTAAGAGCTTTAAGGACAAAGATCTTGGAGACACAATCTATTTTACTACTCTCTCTTTCTCTCTTAATCTGGAAAAATTATTTCAGTTTCCCCCTCTGATTTATTTAATATTTTAGAATGAGCCAGAATTTCTGCTTCAAAACATGTATAATATTCATTATTCTTTATAATATGTAAATAGTATGAGCATATATATTTTTCTTCCTGATGATCTTAATGTTTGCATGCAAGCTTTTCACAAGACAATGTGGCAATATACATGTTTTCCAGCAATGTACAGGTAGTCCTCCACTTACAACAGTTCATTTAGTGACCATTCAAAGTTATATCGGCACTGAAAAAAGTGATTTATTAGCATTTTTCACACTTACGACCATTGCAGTGTCCCCATGGTCACATGATCTCAATTCGGCTGCTTGGCAACTGGCTCATATTTATGACGGTTGCAATGTCCTAGAGTCATGGGATCACCTTTTACGATCTTCTGATAAGCAAAGTCAATGGGGAAGCCAGATTCACTTAACAACCGTGTTCCTAATTTAACAACTGCTGTGATTCACTTAACAACTGTGGCAAGAAAAGTCGTAAAATGGGACAAAAACTCACCCAACATTTCAATAACAGAAATGTTGGGCTCAACTGTGGTCGTAAGGCAAGGAGTACCTGTACATATGTATTATAAATGTATTTTTTAAAGTAAGAAACAATTTTACAAAATTCACACGAAGTGTAATCTTCGAAGGTGTGTAGGTATTATATTACAGTAAACCTTCTAAAGATTTAGGAAGTACAAATTCTGTAATTAAAATATCATAAAGATAACATAAAAATTGGAGGGAGTGGATTTCCTGTTCAGTTCCATACATAGGAAAATAGCAGATTTAGTCAAGAAGAATTTAGGCAAGGAGAAAGATTTCCCTCTCCTCACTTAGTATCTTATCCAATAATAGTAAATGGTTCAGTTTAAGACTAAATGAGGCATGGCAGATATTAGAAAATTAACACATTCTTGTAAAATATAAAGAACCTATAGCCCGGATGATTTTTTAAAATTATTGTTATAGCCAAGAAAAATAACAATAAATAAATTCCAAAAAGTTTTATGTGTTTTTTGAGTTTTCCAGACTGTTTCACCAGGAAAACATTAAAAATTATGCTACTTCTTCCATATCTTTATTTAATATGTTTTATTGTACAACTGACTATTGTAATCTCACAAGAGTTTAGAATGAAACAAAAATAAAAAATAAAAAACAAGAATTGAAAGTAAAATTCAATTGTCAATCATTTTAACCTGCTGTTGTTGCTTTTACTCTTCTTTAACCTTTTGTGATTTCCTTTTAATAATAATATAAATCAGTTATTTTCTGTGGCTATTTTCCCCTTACATTTTACGTAACTTATGAATGGCTGGTGCAAATTAATTACTTTTTCTCCTCTTTTAACGTCCTACTTTTTTTCCCCAAGAGTTTCGTCAACAATCATATTTTCTGGAAACCCACAAACTTTTAGAACAGGCTGAACAAATATATAATATTCTGCTTATTTAACTATTGACCCTAATATACAGTATAAGAATATCCATTTATTTGGCAACAGTCCCAATTCATTTCCCATATGAAGCATACTTCCAAAAGAGGGATTAAAACAAACATTCTCATTTCCTCTTTCAAGTTTTTGTCACAGCCTAACGTGATCAAGAATATGGATATGCACCTGACACTTACTATTTGTTTTTTTTTAATGTTTTTATGTCAGATAATAATTGCTAATCAGCTTTGAAGTAGGGAAAAACTATTACATTTGAATTTATCATTATTATTTTCATCCACCCTAGTCAGGTAAACTTAATGTTTGCTAACAAGAATCATGAGGAAGTCCCTGATACAGTTCATCAGAGCCTAGCTTCTCTCAGATGTGAAACCCAACACAGTACAAATAGTCCTCGACTTACAATGATTCATTCAGTGACCATTCAAAGTTACAACAGCATTTTAAAAAGTGACTTATGACCTATTTTTCACACTTACAGCTGTTGCCGTATCCCGATAGTCATGCAATCAAAATTTGAATGCTTGGCAACTGACTCACATTTATGTCGGTTGCAGTGTCCCACGGCAGGGTCATGTGATCCGTTTTTGCGACCTTCTGACAAGCAACGTCAATGGGTAAGTCAGATTCCCTTAACAACCATGGTACTAATTTAACAAGTGCAGTGATTCACTTAACAACGGTGGCAAGAAAAGTGATAAAATGGGGCAAAATTCACTTAACGAATGTTTTGCTTAGCAACAGAAATGTTGGGCTCAATTGTGGTTGTAAGTCAAGGACTCTCTGTAAAAACACGAGTTTATAAAATATGTTATCCTCCCACCTGTATTTTAAAAAGAAACAGTAGTGTCTACCTGTGGACAATGCCATGGTGCTGCAGATGATCTACAGCAGCCATGATGTGCCTCGTATATTTCTTTACTTCTTCTTCATCTAGCCTCTTTTTCTCACATATCCTGTCCATGAGGTCCCCGCCAAGGCACAGCTCCATCACCATGTAATACGAGTTCTCCGTCTCCAAAGTTTCATACAGCTGAACTATGTTAGGATGCATAATCATCTGATGTATCCGAGACTCCCGCTTCATATTTTTTAAAATGTATGAGTCTTGCTTAGCCTTTTTCTTGTCAATAACTTTTATGGCTACCTAAATCACAGAAATGAATGAATCCTTCATGATACAGATAATTCTCACCATAATTTGGCAGCAGCCATCCCATTTCGCGAATGGAATGGAGTGGAATAGAATAGAATAGAATAGAATAGAATAGAATAGAATAGAATAGAATAGAATTCTTTATTGGCCAAGTGTGATTGGACAAACAAGGAATTTGTCTTTGGTGCATATGCTTTCAGTGTACATAAAAAGACAAGATACACTCATCAAGAATCACAAGGCACAACACCCAGTGATTATATATAATATAATATAATAGTATAAATAAACAAGCTCAGCAATAGCTGATTATCACTATGGATGGCATTCAGATATTAAATCCAGACTACTAAAAAGAAAAATGCATAATTCTTAAGACCAGCGATGTAATCAGGCCATTGTTTGCATAATATGGAGTTCTATAGTAATGTCTGAGGCGCAGGTAAGTGTTTTAGCAAACATCCTTTGTAGGGATATGTTCAGATATCATTTTGTACATTTCTTATAGATAACTTGAGTGCAGACATTTCCATGGGGGACTGAACAAGTCTGCTATTACTGCACTCACAGATTAATTAAAGTCCCTTGAAATGCTCCAGATATACTCAAATATCAGCAGAATCACCCAATTGGGGGAAATTAATAGTACAGTCAAATCGATAGAGCATATATTGTATGAAATATACCCTTATCTTCCAAAGCTATTTAGGAACTTGAGAAAAGTAAGTCAGTGCATTACTTTTATACTTGCCACATGAGCATCGCTACCGTAATTGAGTAAAACTATGAACAAACAAGAAAAGAGAAGACAATTCATGAATTATCACATGCTATTGTGAGATGAATGCAATTGCTAATCAGGCTCATATAACCATGCTCAGATTACCTTCTCCCCAGTCAGAATATGCAGTCCCTCCATCACTTTGGCAAAAGAACCCTTGTTGATCACTTTGCCTACTAGGTAATTCCCAACTTGCTTAGTGTATGGAAAAGTCTTCTTAGGCTCTTCTTGGGAGAGTTTCCTGAAACAAGCAGGTATCTGTAGATCTGCATGGTTTTTCTCCATGCCCGACAATACCCTTTTTTGATTTGTAGGATTGATGATGCTGACATCTGGAGTCTCTTTTATTGCTGCAGGCATCTTCAAGAAGTTGGATTGGGTTTAGCAGCCTTGCTTCCCAGGAACACAACTTGCCAAAGACCATTCAGTCAGGAAACACAAGAGCTAGTTCTGCTTATGGTGAGGCAGCCCTACAAATCTATTGGTCAGACAGAATTTAATTGGGCTCCCCTGGAGGCTATGTTTTCATTACTGATCTCTACCTGCAGGCATGGAGGTCCGCTCAAGCAGAACCAAGCTGGAGATTATTAACCTAACCTGATACAAGATGTCAATTAATGCCCCACAACTGACAGCTCCAATGTCACATAATAATTTCATGAAATAAACCACTCCCGTTTACAGAGGCCAACGTTACCTAAACACCAATCAACTAAATTAGACTACGGCTCTTTCCCCGTGTATTTTCAGAGACAACAGCCACAATGTTTACTATGTAATGGCATCAGTGCGGCTCAGGTTAATCCAGAGGTTTATTTACACAGAAAGTGATGGCAAGCATGTTCCAAATGACTTACTTAAACTTGTGTTCTTAGATCCCTTCCAAATTCTTTGGCTGGAGTACAGTTCAGAGGAGGGTTTCAGCAGGTTCTGACCAGTTCTGGAGAACCGGTAGCGGAAATTTTGAGTAGTTTGGAGAACTGGTAAATACCACCTCTGACTGGCCCCACCCCCATCTATTCTCTGCCTCCCGAGTCCCAACTGATTGGGAGGAAATGGGGATTTTGCAGTAACCTTCCCCTGGAGTGGGGTGGGAATCCTTCCCCTGGAGTGGGGTGGGAATTTTACAGTATCCTTCCCCTGCCATGCCCACCAAGCCATGCCCACAAAAATGGTAGTAAAAAAATTTGAAACCCACCACTGGGTACTACAGTTTCATCTTGCACTAAGTGAGAATTGTACATCATCTTTAATCTTCCCTGGGATCAGGGAAAGGGGAAAAAAACGTTGGTTCATTGAGTTGTGTCATGGTGAGCTCGAAAGAGGAGACAAACAGCCTGCTCTGGAGTTACCTGATGAACCACTGCTTGAAGACCTGAGGTCAGCCAAGGTTGGGGCTGTCCAGCAACCATCAGGAGAAGTTGCCATTGGTTTCCAAAGGTGAACTTCCAACTCTGCCCAATTCAAGGGTTTGCCACATGGAGAGGAGAGGACAAGCACTCTGCAAGGCACCCCACAAAAAAGGAACTGTGGCCTCCTATGATGAGCAATACTGGCCCTGGCCCTATGGTAGCAAACTCAGTACTGTATCTCCATTCAAAACAACAGTTAGCCAACCCAGCCTCTTAAAGAGCATTATTATTGATACAGGCAGTCCTTAGTTAACAATTAATTTCTTGAGGTTGCTATAGAGCACATTTGTTTATTTTCTTTGATCTCCTGGGGGGGAAAAAGGCGGGATGCAGGACTAACAAAAGTAGAAATAATTTTTTTGTCCACCACAGAGAACATGATGGTTTTGTAATGGGAACTAATTATTGGTAGGAAAATTGATAGGATTCTTAGAAATAGTTGAGGAAGAATTCACTCAAAAGACATATATTTCTCCTGCATAAAAGTCATGGAAATATTGTGTAAAAATCAGTGATTCCCAGAATTAAAGGGAAAAAAAGTGGATCTGCCAATTTGGCAGGAAAGTCACCTATGTGCTGATTGGCTTAATGCATCTATCATCTCTGAACTGTGACACACATTGTTTGCATGTTATTTTTCTTGCCAACAGAGAAAAAAGTTTGCTTCTTTTTGGATCTCTGGTTTCTGTGATTTGTGATTTGTGTGTGTATGTGTGTGAACAAAACAGCATTTCCTGCTTCATTTCGCTAACTCTCTTGTCTTAGTCTGCCACAGATTCTTGACAGATTCTTTTTCTTTTTAAAAAATAATTATAATGAATAATAATAAATAAATAATGTACAATAAATTACATTATTTACTAATGTAGATGCAGCAGCTCGCAAAACCATGCCCCCTCCAGTCTGCAGAAAAAAACTCTTTCCACAGAACCGGTCCCTGCTCTCTGCCTTAAAGAATCCGTCTCTTTTCTTGAGATTGTGAAACACTGTTGTGGTCCACCAGCAACCTGCAGAGCTGGCAGCGGAGTCTGACAGTGAGGAGGCTGGAGAGGACAATGGGCCAGTCCTGGAGTCAGGGGAAGGCCCGGATGAAAGCTCTGCGTTGGAGGCAGAGATGGGGCCAGGGCCATCTGGGAGCGATGCATGGATTCTGGAGCCTCCAGAACCTTTGTTCATCTTTCTTGCACATGCTGTGCTTCTGTCTGGTTTCTATTAGTATTATCGTATTTGGGCAGAAAAATTAATGGTAGCAAGAAGTTAATAGTTTCTCTAACATTTTGCTACCATCTAGCTGGGGTCTGGACCTTTGCATTTCATTCATATTAGAACTATTCTCCCAACATCTGAACAAGTGAGATTTGGAGGAAGTGATGTGAAGCAGGCACAAGACAGACTTAGGTGGAGGCACCTCTGTCGGTTAAATACACATACACAAACACAATTTTGTAAACACTCCCCATCATTACCAATCTTTGTTTCTCTCATCCTCTTTTCCTAGAAAAAAATTAAAGGCCACTCTAGGTGAGACAGATGACTCTAGGCAGAATCCAAGGTAAATTTAGAGAGAAAGGTATTCTATCACTTATTATAGTACTATAATACTATATTCTTTCTTCGCTTATTCTTTCTTCCTCTCTCTTTCACACACACTGAAATCTAAGTTTCAGTTTGGGATATTTTTTTTAAACAACACCAAAATGTTTTTAAAATCATCAAAACCCATATTTCTTATCTCAAGCACTTCTTAATGACTCTCTTAACGAAAGAAGCCTAAGTTGAATAAAGATAATAAATAATAGTCAAATGAAACTGTATCACACAGCACCATTATCTGTATTTCTTTATTCTAAATTTATAGAGGACCGATCCATATCAGGATTACCACACTTGAGGAATAAAACAGCTAATCCTTTTTCCAACCCGCTTTTAAATTCCCACGCACAGGCATGGGGTTTTAAAAACTTCCGTTGCTTTCCAAGTTTCAGATGGTAATTGATTCTTAAAACATTTTAAAAATAACCAAAATGTCAAAGGGAACTTTTACCCAATGCTTTGCTGGAAATGAAGCAAATTACATCATCAAGTACCCCAAACCTGTAAAATGAGTAAGTTATCGAATAAACAGGTAAAATTAACATTTTGATTTTATTCCTGTTTTGTGATATGATTTCTCTGTGTGCGCGTGCCACTGTGTGTGTATATGCACATGCATACTTTTTTTTATTGAATACAAAAAAGAAAAAGAAAGAAAACAACAAAACAACAAAAACAACAAGGTATATTTATATCTTGGATAAACATTCACCTAAGTATTTCCATGAATACTTAGCCATATTTCATTATAATCATCCACTGATCATCTATAATAATGTACAATTTATTGGTTGCTAACAATAGCAAGTCTGCTTTTACTTGATTTTCCTGTTACTTTTCTTTCTCCTGTGCGGTCCATCTAGAGCAGGGCTGTCAAACTCCTGGCCTGCAGGCTGGATGCTTCATGCGCCACGCCCATGTCCAGTTTAGCAAAGGGGGGGAAGTCTCAATACATCACGTGACACCACCATGACGATGTGAGTTAGACCCCTGATCTAGAGTCTCAATGGGTTGAGGCAGCCTACAAGTATTTACAATTCTAAAGAAACTAATGCTTTTTCTAATTGGCAAGCAAGATGCTAAAAATTAATTCAAGACCCATAAATAAAGCCATAAACAGCTGGGCAATTGGGGAGCTGGGAGGGAGGTCCCCTATTTCAAAAAAATCTGATTAGGCTTCCCCAAGCAAGATGAAGCACCATGGAAACTTGCTCTGGGATTTATTGGCCTTTTCATCTAAGTAACCCCGCAATGGGGCTTACTTTTAGTACCACAATATTTGAGAACGTATCATGATATATAAATTAAATTATTAAACAGTGGTATGTTTAATTCTTGCCCTATTCTAACCTTGGTGAAATCATTAGTTTTATTCATGGAGATGGATGTACAAGTTCATTTAACCATTAAGTAAGTCATAGTTTTGTAAAGTCTGAGAATGCCAGGAGTAACTGCTTTACAAAATGTTCTATGTTTTTTTTTTTTTTTTAGTCAATAGGAATCTGATCTGTTTTTGCTAACCATGTTAGTAAGGCCAATTTATTTTTTTCTTTTTAAAGACTTTTAAAAATCTGAAAAATAGGTTTGTCTTATTCAGGTTTTTTAAGGAGCAAAGAAAGCCAGAACAGGGTAAGCGAACAAAGAGCAAGCCCATACAGAATAGATGTAGGAAAGCAAGATAAGCTTCCTGCTCATATTCTCTACCTTAAAATGTGAAAATTGTCATCCTCATTCCTTCTAATAAAGCCACCCTATTATTAGGACATCCTGCAGCTTCCCCAAAGGGGAATCAAAGATTCAGTTGGACCTCACAATCTTTCAAATATTGTCTACCCCATCTCACAGATATCCAAACCCTCAAATGTATAACAAGACTGTATTCAAGGCTGATATTAGAGGCACAGAGTTACCATTCTGTAGGATCAAGAGAAGCCAATTTTATTACAGGTGACTGAGATTCAGAAGACAAGACAGAGACCTATTGTTTGGATTAGGAAGCAATCAAGGTTTCTGTTAGAGAAGGCAAGAAGTATATGGCTTTGGGATCTCCTGCAATTGTTCTGGGATTTGAATGCTTGGGGCAGAATCTTAAATATTGGAAGTTCCCAGTCTGTACTCAAGGAGATCTTCTAGCACCAACCTCTTCCCATACAGAACAGCCAGTCATATAATTACAATTACAATTACAATTATGGTAGTCATTTGGGTAGTGTAGTTCAGACTCCAGCTCAGTGGCTGAGCCTCCAAGGACAAAAATATAGAATAGGGCCTGTTTTTGCCTCAGCTTGGCATGAGGGCCAATCCCTCAGCATCAGAGGTCTGGTAGATTGTTATTTTCTTTTTCTCTCCCCATGTCAGGGGCATGACAAATGAGAAACTAAGGGAATTGGATATGTTTATCACCG